ATGAAAGGGACTTATCTGTCTCATGCCCGACGAGGTCTATATCATTAATACGATGAAGAGAATTCCATAGAGGGGTTGGCCGGACGTGTTTGAAATCAACAGGGCGACAAAGTCAGTGTTGTGGTGCGCTAGGACCAGTATGGAGACCGAGTCCGAGCAGCGATGAAGTTGGCGCGTAGGGCCGTCGAGTGATCGCGGTAACTTGTGTAAAAAATGGCACAAGTCAACACAATAATTTCTTGAGGAAATTTGATGTGTGCTGAAATAATTTGTGTGAATAACACCCATAGACACCCGCTGGGAGTGCAAGGGACTTGCTGGTTGACCAGCAAAAGTTTAAAAGAGCGAAGGATTCGTTCGCACTTGTCGAAGCGAGAAATCCTACTGAACTTGTTGGAATACTGGCTAAAATAAAACGGAAGTGTAGTGTTTTGACTGAGTTGCAGCCCCGGAGGACCGATGCAAACTCGAAATGAAGAACGACACATGGTGTTCGTGAATGATATATGCGAAAAAAGGAAGTTGGACTTCGGAGTCACATAACCAGTACTAAGCAAGTATATGAAAATAAGCAGTCGAGCGTAGAGGTACACTCGGTGGTGTGGCCTCCGAGTGAACCTGATGTGTGAATTATGGAATACTCGGGAAGACGAAAATAACAGAATGTAAAATGACTTAGCTGTCTGAAGGCGCGCAGGGCGGCCGAGTGGTGATGAGGTGACCAACCGAGTGGCGACGCGCGGGGCGGCCGAGTGGTGATGAGGTGACCAACCGAGTGGCGACGCGCGGGGCGGCCGAGTGGTGATGAGGTGACCAACCGAGTGGCGACGCGCGGGGCGGCCGAGTGGTGATGAGGTGACCAACCGAGTGGCGACGCGCGGGGCGGCCGAGTGGTGATGAGGTGACCAACCGAGTGGCGACGCGCGGGGCGGCCGAGTGGTGATGAGGTGACCAACCGAGTGGCGACGCGCGGGGCGGCCGAGTGGTGATGAGGTGACCAACCGAGTGACGACGCGCGGGGCGGCCGAGTGGTGATGAGGTGACCAACCGAGTGGCGACGCGCGGGGCGGCCGAGTGAAGTGCACGCGTCCCGCGGAGTGGTGACTCGCGGGGCGTCCGTGTCGGGCAAGTTGATGATGATGTGAACAGCTTCATGACCGCGTGCTGGGTGGCTGAGGACATGTCCAATCGAGCGATGACGTACGGGCGGCCGAGTGGCGGCGCACGAACGGCCGATCAAGCGCAAGTGATCCGGTTTGGTCCGAGTGAGCTAGTCCCATCCGAGTGATCATGCCGAATTGCCGACTGAAGGAGTTGTTGCCGAGTGTTGGGTCTTGTCGAGGCAGAGACAACGTGTGGAGTGCCGGCTTTAGTCAACCACCGTGTCGGTCAGCAAGTACATCCTAGCGGAGTAGCGCACTGGTGGGAGCCGGTCCTTCCGTTTCCATTTTCCTATATGCAGTTATTCCTCAAGGAGGTTGATTTGGTGCAGAGCTTGATCTGTTGGTTGTGGAGCAATAAATCACAAGCAATCAGGTGTGATTGCTTGGCCGACCAACACATTGAAGGAGTTGCCCACGTTCTGGACATGTAGGCAGAATCTGCATGCAAGAGAGCGCTGATTAAGTGAGAGTTAGAGTCATTCATGTATGTAATAAACATTTCCCACGGTCATTTATCCCTGCATGGAGGAAATAAATGGGAAGGAATTAAGGGAATAAATGGGCAGGAATTAAGGTTAGAAGGAGCGGCGACGCGCGGGGCGTCCGAGTGAAGCAGACGCATCCCACAGACTGGGTTTGGGGCGTCCGAGCGTTGTAGACACGTCCTGTAGGGTGACGACGCGCGGGACATTGAGTGACCATGCACGCGTGACCAGTTGAGCGACGGTCTGCCTGTCATCGTGTTATTCGCCTGAACGAAACGTCCGTCCGAGTGAACTGCAGTCGGTGGACGACGACGGGACAAGTGATCCTGCAAGTTAGTAGCAAGTATAGCTACGAATATTATTTTTTTGATCTCAACGCTCCTGCAAGATAGCCGGTTAGCAAGCATAGCCACGAAATTAACGGTCGGGCGGTTGCACATGCATGCATGCATGCACCAATTATTGGTGCGTGAATAGCATGAGTTTTGGCTGCAGTAATTAGAAATCTAGTGCACGAAATACTCACCTGATGAGCCGCTTAATGACACAATTACCTTAGCGAAACGGCCACCCCACGTTCTTCTGTTTCCTTGCGCGACGAGGAGGTGGACTACGCTCGCGCGCGGTTAACGCACTAAACGGGCGAGAGGGTTGGTCCCTTGCTCCCGAACGATGGCTGCAGCGACGGGACTTGGAAACGCCGCTAGAGGGGCCGATCTGGCGCGGATGGACGCGTCGGAGGCCTGGTGGTCGTGCAGCAACCGAGTGTCCGCGTCACCGGAGTGACTGTTGAACACCTGCAGTCGCGCAGCCAGCAGACGGGTGTGCTGGGCTCGACGGAGAAGATGGAGAAGACGAAGCAGGAGGCGCGCTGGTGGCAGCCCTGGTCGGTCCGGTCGAGCGGGCGATTCGCCTCGCGCTCGGAGTCCTCGGCGGCGTCGGGGTCGTCGCCCGTGAACCCGAGGTAGTGGCGCGGGTCGTCGGCACCCATGGAGGCGGCACCGCCGGAGAGCTCGGCGAAGAGGAGCCGCACACCGCCTGGTGGCGGCGTGTCCGTCCAGCGGTACCGGCCCTCGAAGGTGAAGCCCGCAGTGTAGAAGGAAATCGCCAGATGGACGCGTTTGTGAATGGTTATACACGCTCGCAGTGTCGGGTGAAGATGTATCTTCTCCTCCCCTTCTACGGTGCTTCAGTTGTTCGTATGAACTGCATGAACAGGAAATTAGATGAATGAAAAACCATATGCATCATGGCTCTATAGACGCCATGCCCCACGATGGGCGCCATCTGTCGTGGTTCTAAGTCTGACAGTAGAATAGGGGTAGTATAACGGAGCATGATCTATCGAGATGCATATGGGTGACACGGTGGTTTTAGCGAGTTCGGGCCTCTCACGGTGGAGATAACAACCCTACGTCTCGTGCTCCGGAGAGGCTTTGTTTTATCTCAGTATATATCCGGAGATTACAATATGTGTGTAAGCGAGGAACGGATCCCCAAGCCTGAGCTAAGTCCTGAGACTAATGGTGAAAAGAGAGAGAGGTGGCAGAAGAAGCCCCCTAAGTCTAGTGGTGGGGGGTGGCTTATATAGAGTGCGCCACCTCCTCACCTCCTATGTTACAAAGTGGGGTATGAATGCTATAATGACAGCCCACTATTAAGCCTTCACTATTAGAAAGATGCCGACTGCTTTGCTGCCTGCTGGTCTTCGTATATCCGAGTGAGTCGTACGGTCGAGTGGTGAACTGTCATCCGAGTGGATGGTATGTTGCTTGGTCGAGTGGATAGTATGCTACTTGTCCGAGTGGACAGTGTGTCTGTATGAAATTGACCTGGACCCACATGTTGTGTGGACCCCACGCTTCATGATATTTCGACCCTTCGTGGGCCTACCTGTTATGTATATCCCCAACAACGGTGCCTCGTGTCCCTTGTCCTACTCCACCTTGTAAATCGATTTTACGGTACGAGATTATAAGGGATCTGCTAGAGTTGCTCTAACATAGTAGTGACTCTTTAGTCCACCACATGGCTATTGTCTAGCTAGTTTCATCTCCAGAGCACTTGGTGCGTTACTATTACTAGTCAATGTGTACGTGCAATGCACATTAATTTGGAAGTGTATTAAATGCATGCGGATATTAAGTAAAATATTATTTACGTATTATTATGTGATTAGCATTATATTTGGCATGAAATTAACTGCACACTAAACGTGTTGAGCGCTCGACATTGAAGCAGTCTAAGTCCTTGGATTGACATGATTTGATGACCGAGATTAATTAGATCTGCCCCTTTGGGTTTTTTTATATTGGTATAAATATAGATTTATATTGGTATAGATATAGATTGGCTCTTAGTTTGGACAATTTAGTCAAGACCGGCCATTACATGGCAGGCAAACCTCTAGAGATCACGGACGTATTGATCGATCGGTCCATGCTAGTACGGTACAGAACCTGGATACTCCGTATATGACTTCCAATATATGCCGAGTTCTTAAATATCTTTTCTTTTTTGCGGGTGAGTTCTTAAATATCTTTCCTTCGATTGTTATTTATACTCAGACTAGAGTCGTGTGGTGCATCATTCAGGTAGCTTGCAACACTATACCCTTCTCGAGGCACTACTACTAGTACTCCCTCTGTTTACAGAAAGAAATATAAGAGTGTTTAGATCATTATTTTAGTGATCTAAAACGCTCTTATCTTTCTTTACATATGAAGTATTACGTTTTCTAATATTATCTTTAGGGTGCTCTCGCTTGTAGGTTGAGCGTTTCAATATCCTAGTTGAGTCATTTGTTGCTAGATACTATAGTAGTAGTTGTATATCCGCCGCGCCGGGCTGGGATGGGCCGGGAGGTGGTGTTCGACATTGACGTTAAGTCGACGACGTACGCTTCGCATCGGGGGCAAAGCTAGCGAGCTACGATGAGATGTGTATACACAAACAACATTCTTTTGGGGTGTCCACCACTGACTCGAAGGAAAAAAATATGGATATGCAAGGGGAGAGGGGAGACTGCTCAACAGTCAACACGACCGCAAAGCAGTGGCGCTAACCAGGCAGGCAGGCAGCTTATCATTGCCACTTGCAGTTAGTATGGACCATTCCACATCAGGTCGTCTTACGCATACATCTCGGAGATGTACATACATCCTAGCATATATAATCTCACAGCCACTCAACAACTGGCGTTTTCTAACAACATCTGCACTTAACACTTTCAACCCAAAAAAATCGTACCTGGTTGGGCTTTAACACACTGCCAGTGAATGGGCCGTTTGACCTTACTCCACAAACTACCAAAGGACCCTTGTTGTACAGTCGGCTCAGCTGTCTCTTCAACCTACGGGGATCCTGACATGGCCCATCGTGACGGGGGGCTCGCCGAAGGTCTGATCCTCGCGGGCATGCTGAGGCCAGCATCGCCGTCCGCGGCCACCCCGTGGTAGAAAGAGCGGTGCGGAGTTATAGACATCTTGTTCATCGAGTACTCCAGCTCGTCGTCGTCGCTGTTGATATCTATTTCGACATGATCGTCCAAGCTGCCCACCTTCATTTCAGGGGCATCAAGGTCCTCCAGCTCATCATCGTCATCGTCCTTGTCGTCGCTGTATGTCGTCTTGACCATGGACCAGAACTCAAAATTCGGACGGATATATCTGCGGGCACAAGCCAAGAAAAAATTAATATGACGAGGACAACTAGCAGCTTTTCTCCAGATACAGATAAAACTGAAATCCCAAACATCTTTTGTCAAACAAAGTGTAGTTCTCAAACCTAAGACAAGTCCAACAACAACAAGGCTTGCTAGACATTGTAATCCGCAAAGGACGAACAATGCAAAGAGCAGTGGTTCAATGCTGCTGTAATACGTTTCAAAAGTAATAATGTCAGCGGTGCAAACCTGTCTGATTCTTTTAGCAGGTAAGGATCAAATGGGAAGAAGGTGTCAAGTCTATTGATTCCTCCAAAAGCCCTGGACAAATCAGATTCGATTGCATCTTCAGCTGCTGAATACATGGATGCAGCGAACAATCCGGCATCCTTGGCCTGTCTCAGGAACTCATTTACTATTGACGGCAAGCACACCTAGGATAACAAAAGAAAATGTGAACCGTCAACATAGCATGGTATTTCCCAGTTAATGACGCCAAACGTCAAAAATGCGCCACTCATGTAGATATGTGAAGAGAGCATATTATCAAAGGTGGCAGAGAATGCATGTCATACAGACCTTTAGAGCTTCCAGTCGGTGGTTCAAGATAAATCCAAAAGACAATTGAAAAAGCTGTGCTTTAAGATTCGGATAATCCATAATAGATCTCAAGCGAAAGCAAAGGACATACATCACAGCCTGCAGA